GGGCGCCCCTGACCACCTCCCGGCACCTGCACGCCCGAGGGAGCAGAGGGCACCTCACCAGTGAGCACCTCAGCTCTCTCCTCTGGTGCCCAGGTCGGCACTGGCCCCACTGGCATAGCTGGGCAGGGCCAGGTGGGGATGGAGGCCGGAGCCTAAGCCTGGAAGGAGGTGGGGGTCGGGTCTGGGGAAAGGTCCGAACCCGGAGTGTGAGGGAGAGCGGGGACCCTCTCACCTGGGCCAGCTTCAGCCGGCGGGAAGGTGCAGCCTGGATCACTAGGGCGATCATAGCCAAGTAGGTGTAGGGAGGCTTGTCATGTCGAAGGTATCGCTTCTTCCTCCTCTTGGGGGGCTGGGAGGGCGACTCTGCCCCCGCGAGCCCCAGGCCTGGGCTGCTGCAGGGCCCCATAAAGGGGAGGCCAGCAACGTGGGCAAGGGTCCGGAAGGGCTGAGGGCGCCGGGCAATAGGGTAGGAAGGTGAGGCAGGGCCAGGGCCTGAGGTTGGGTGGGGGCAGGCGGGGCCGGGCCCTTTATCATTCGGATGGAAGGGGGAGGGGAGAGGAGGCCTAGGGAGGTGGAATCGGGCGGTGGGGGAGGGGACCAGGCAGAGGGCTGCCACAATTAGCAAGTTTCAGTTAATCTGGGAGGGAGGGGCCGGGGAGATTCCAGTGGGGGTTGCAGGAGGCCACCCAGGCCTTGTTTCTCACCCCTGGGCTGCCTTTGGCACCCCCTATAAGCTGGAAGGAAGAGCCAGGGAAGAGCCCAGGACTCATGGTTATTTATCAATCTGTCTGAGCTGGGGCTTAGGCTCCCATTTCACAGACAGGAAAGTGACTTGCCCCAGCCAGGCTGCCAGTAAGAGTTCAAGGCCAAGCAGCTGGAAGGACCTGAATGGTGGACTGGAGGGCTTCCTGGAGGAAACCTCAAGGGGGGGGGGGCAGGCAGAGACACAGTAGATTCCAAGGGTTTTTCCCAGGGGCTGCTGCAGGGCCTCAGTGGCTCCCCGGGCCCTGGAGGTCTCCGTGCTTGTCCACAGTTGGTCCTTGTAGCTGACTGCCCTCGTTTAACTTTGCACCTCACTGGCCCTGAGTGAGCTGGACCTGCTGGCCATGGAGGACTTGTTGGAGCCAGGTTTGCCTCACTTTTCTTCTCCTGCTCTGGGTCCAGATGCCCTGGGGGTTACCCCTGAGGAGGATGCCTCTCATTCCTTGGGGGCACTTGGGCAGTACCCTGGGCTGGGGTGCAGGGAGGGAGAAGTCTCCTAGCTGGAGGGGTTTTACTGGCCACTTCTCAGGGAGCCCCATGGGTCACAGTCGCTCCCCAGGAGAGTCTTCGAGGAGCACCTGGCTTCACCCCGCATGGGAGTGTGTGCAGGCTTGTGTGTGTGTGCGCACAGGAAGGACTTGGAGGCAGCCACAGCACCCTGGCGCTTGGTCTAGAACAGGGGTGGGGAATGTCCCTCGGGATGGGCGGTGTCATTTGGTCTGGCCCTGTCAAGGCAACTGCAGGCAGGACTTGAAATTCAATAAATCTAGGAGCTTGTTTCAGAGCAACATAATTTTTAAGTTGATAATTTTTGTATGGCCCGAGAATGATGTTATAAATATCCAAAGGCCCTTTTTTTTCATCTCATGGCATATAAACTAATTACTAAAAGTCTGCGGTGGCACACCAAAAATATATATATTTTTGCCCATCTGACAAAAAAACAACAACAAACCAAATAGGGCCCGGCTGGTGTGGCTCAGTGGTTGAGCATCAACCCATGAACCAAGAGGTCACCAGTTTGATTCCTGGTCAGGGCACAAGCCTGGGTTGCAGGCTTGATCTGTGCAAGAGGCAGCCAATCAATGTTTCTATCTCTCTAACCCTCTCCTTCATCTCCCTCCAAAATCAATAAAAACATATATTTAAAAATTGGTATAATTTTGATTCATTTACACCAGATGGCTATTGCTATGTTGGCTGTTGTCATATTTTTATTTGATCATCTAAGGCAGTGGTTCTCAACCTTGGCTGCACCTGAGAATCACCTGGGAATCTTTTAAAAATCCTGATCTCAGCCCCAGAAATCAGGATTTTAAAAAGAATCCCAGGTGAGTCTCAGGTGCAGCCAAGGTTGAGAACCACTGTTCTAAAGGAAAAGAGGTCAGCGCCCCTCTCTAAATAGTCAGGTGTTGCGTATTTTAAAAATCCTGGCGGGCACGCCAGGGTTCCGGGTGGTGTTGAGAACCCGGGGTGTAGGAGGGAAATGCGCTCCGGCTGGAGGGGCCGGCCCGGGGGAGGAGGGGCTCTCAGGAGGGAGTGGAAGCTCAGGCGGGGGAAGCTCGAGGGACCAGCACCCCCTGCGCACACCTGGCCCCTGTGGGGGCTCAGCAGGGACAGGATGATCCAAGGTGTGGTCGTAGCAAAACGCCTCTGCAGCTGCCCAGGCTCCCAGTCCTGATATCCCAGCCCCTCTGCCCCTCCCCTGTCCTCCCTGCCATCTGATCTATGAGTCGGTCAAGGCCTCAAGCCCAGATGCCCCCAACCACACACGCCGGGCAAGCGTGCCCAGGCCTGCTGGCAGCGGGGCGGCCACGGAGCAGGA